TATCCTGCTTCTGCCTGTCTTGCATTTGGGGTCTATTTCCTGGGGGTTCTCCGGTCTTAACAGCCGCAGCTTTTAGAGGAATAAGCACCCGTAGTCACTCCGGATTCTTAAGTTAAACTGGAAGTTAAACTACCTGGTAGGAAAATACGTGTCTGTTACTTGATTCCAGTCGTCAGTTCGTTATCATAGCATTTTAAAAGTTGCTTGCTTGTCTTCCAGACGGACCTGACAAAGTATGAATTCACACTGAAGTTTGTTTTGTGCTCATACTGCTGTAGTCAATCAGATTAAATATATTTAGACACACATGATCCTGCGAGCAAACTCAATAGGTGAAAATTTGAGTCCTTAATTTTACTTTACTTTTTTTACTGTACGGAGAGACCTTCGTTTTTGTGACCTTTTTGTTCTTTAGTTAATTGTTTAAAAGTTATACTTCTACACTTTCTGTTTTCATCAGTAGCAGTAATGCTGTGCACTGCAACATCCATCCTGCAGTCTCATATTCAGCCCTTCATGCAATTCTAGCTATCTACCAAGTAGTCATCTTATCTTATTTCACTGTAAGCCAATGCCAACTAGCAAAGAGGTTAAAATGCTTACCTATCAACACTTTATGAGAATTCAGCAAAAAAAACAACCTGCAGTTCAAGACAAAAGGCTAATGTAATTTAGCATTTGTTTTGTTTGTCATATATCCATACATAAAAAGTAAATACAAATAAGGTGTATTGTATTTCTCTTAATTTCTGTGTTCAATTTGTTTTCATTTAGGCATTTAAAATCTTCCACATTTTTAAAGGCATTAAGGTAAACAGTTCAGAGGATTCAGTTCAGGGTCACTGCCAGCACCAGTAGCATTGTTTGACGACTCCTCATTGGGCCTCATGAGGGGTAGCACTAAAGACTAAAAGAGGGCTTTGGCAGGCAATGCAAATACAACCATGCAACGGAATGTCAGAAAGAAGGAGCTGGTAGATGACTGAATGAGAAGCTACTAACTGACACTATTTAGCGTGAGGAAGTGGAAATGTTGCAATCTAGCAAGCACCTATGGGTGTGCGTCAACAACAAAGTTGACTCATACCAAAGGGCAAGGCAGTTTGTTTTATATGTAAAACACGTGATCTGCTTTCATTAAGATTAAAAAGAAAAGAGAGAACGAGAAGATAGAGGTTAAACGAGAGAGATCAATTATTTTAAGAATAATACTAATAGTTAATAATATTGCACATTATTATGCAACACTTTTGTATGTGTGTATGTATGTATGTAGTCATTCAGGTAAAACAAAACAGCAATCTGACAAATGTGAGCAGACACGCAGCAGAGTGAGAGAGACAGATAAGCCTGCTCATATGGATGTGAGAGCGCAGGGAGTGTGAAAGTGATACGAATTTTTCTTTGATCGTGAAGCTTTGTGTTGATGTATGAACCGCAGAGTCTGTTAACGATGACAGACAGATCCATGTTATATACTGTAATGGATATTTGTAATAACCTACATAAACCTTTGACCTGGTCATTGTAAAACCATACACAGCCTGTTCAAGAGGCTATTATATGCATACACCTTTAACCCTCAACTACACTTTATCTCAGCAATGTGTAACTGTGTTAGAGTGACGCTCCAACAGGATTGAAATGTAACTGTCTATTTGAATCTTTACTCTTTCGAGCCTTCACATACAGGAGTGCATGAGGGTTGCGTTGAGTTCATTCAAAGATGGCTTGAAGAAACTTTACAGAAAGACTAGATCATACTTTGTTTACTTTATTTGAAAAATAGCCACCACTATTCACTTATCTTACTGTGCTGTATCATTATAAACTATGATGAACTGGCCCCTGCGTCCAAGCGCACACCCAACTGTCACTGACTTGCAGCATCTCACAGTGACAAAACAATATAGTGAGCGTTCATTTTAGCACTGTGTGGAATTGTGTTTTTCAACCCGACATAGTGATGTGAAACTTTTCACCCCGTTTGAGTAATCTGGGTAAGGTAACATCTACAGCATGCAGGCTGTCATGGATGAAGTTAAAAGGAATCTTAACTTTCCTGCTTGTTTAGTTTGCTATTTCAATCTCTGTAAAAGTCCCTAGAACTAGAAGAATGACCACACGCACCTCTTGTGTGCTGGTCTCACATCCCGTGTAGCCAGATTTAGCATAGTGTTGTCTGCATATGTTATGTGTTCAATGTAGCCGGCAATTAAGAGTCATTGAAGGTTTTAGAAAAGTTTTGATAACATATCTCAACAGCTGGCACATAGCTCTTTTTATGTTAGGTGATAGTTAACAGTGATGTTGAATGAGTTATGTGCGTCCTTAAACACAGTGGGTATAGCCTACTTGGATCAAGACACACTGTAGTTAAGTTGATAGCCTACCTATGCATTCAATGTAGGCTTTATTATAGTGAAGAAACTGATGCAGAGTTAAGATTGATTTTTATAAATCTGTCCTTAATTGTCAATGTACAGTTGGTGCACTTGATAGCAAACTGCTACTGTAAGATCGAACTCTAACTGTAAGAATATGTGGGTGCACAAAACACACATTGCATAAAACTTGAAGTAGGTGCACTGCACTTGGAGATTTGGGGAGAAAGGCTGGTCCTCTGTATAGTAACTGTTTAGAAACAGTTGTGTTGAGAGGTCTGACGATATTATAGCTTTTGCATGGGTCTAATATGTAGTGGTAAGACCACATACCGTATATGATGGGACAAGAGACGGCAGAGTGTGCCACGTCATCTAAAGGAAACAGCTGGTTTGTGGGTGCTTTGTCTGATTTTAAACATGGTTTGAGTCTTCTGATATCACTTGAGGTTAGCGTTGATGATTTGTGCAGTTTTCCAGACGGCTAGTCTTTTTGATGAGATGAAATGATACCATTCTGAACTGCTGTACTGTGTGATGCATCAAATAAACATTTTAAAAAGACAAACACTACCTACTCTAATTCAGACATCAGGTCAAAGTAATAGTTTGTAAATAATAATGCTACAATAATCTTAATGAACCTCCAAAAGAATGATTAATTGGAGGTGGGTGTGAAGCTGTGCTTAGGGCATTGCTGCAAATCTCATGACTACTTTCAATAATATCAATGTCGTTCTCATTCACAGGTTTGTTTCTGGTGAGAAGGAATCAAAACTTGTTTGTGTATGCTTGCCTGATAAAACATGGACAAACAAATTATGCAAGGCCCTGCCTCACTGAGTGTCAAATTGGGTGTCAATATTTGCAACTTCAACGAGAGGATGAATGGATTATGAAAGTGTGTGGCTTGCAACATCTCCCTAATAGCTGGACAGTGCAGCTCTTAGTCTGTCTGTGTCTTCTAGGGCTGTTCTGGGACTTTGTGCCTTACAACAGTGAGAGTGTAATACTATTTTTTTTTTTTTCATGTTTGATAAATGCAAACGGAAAATGCTGTTTATAAACTGCAGCTCGGAAAAAAGAATCGCGTCATATGCGTGTGCATGAAGCAGAACACAACACAACTCGCTCTCTCCAGTAGCAGCAACCTCTGTGAGCACCAGTCCAGACAAAATATGGGTGTAATGGCACTCAGAGGCACACATCATTTTCAAACAAGATTATTAATTATTATCTAGTCTGTCAGTCAATATTTTACAACTCTGTAGTTCAAGATGAAAAGCAATAGATTGACATTGACACTTTATTTAATATTGAATTTAAATGTTGATTAGCTGGGCATACTGGGCAACATGGATACACATATCTCAGTAAATAATAACCATCAAGTATTCAGTCAAGCCAATGGATGGATGGTTAGGACTTGCTTTGACTGTGAACAACAACCTTTGGTCCATTTATGGAAGTTTTCATTAGCAACTTACTGAGAAGCATACTGAACATAAATACACTAAATGCCAATTGCAAAAGACAATTCTGGTCAAAAAATAAATGCTACTACTACAACTACTACTACTACTACTACTACTACTACTACTACTACTAAAAAATAATGTATTATTAAGTCAATTAGAATCATTATTTTTATTGACTAAAACCAAAAGTAATATAATCAATATGATAATTAAATCTAGAGCAGTAGGACTGTATTCTCACAATATGATTTAAGACAGAACTTACAGCTGCTCTGTTTAATATTTTTATATTAGCAATGGATCCAATGACTACATGCACCCTGAGAGGAATTGCTAACAGTGACAAACATGGCAGCAATAAACCTAAGACAGGCTAAGTTAGCAGATGAGCATAGTGTAGCATTTACCAGCTTAAGAGTCACATGCTTCTCTCAGGAGTTGGTGGATAGTAAATAGCTCTGTGTCTGCTTGATGTGTCAGTCATCATCTGTGTGTGTCATGTCACATGGAAAAATCTATTAATGTAGGTTTAAAGGTCCTCCATAAGATCCTTTTTACATTACAGAAAACGGCTAAATGTTTTATCCAAACATTTACATTATCAGTCTGTCACATTGTCGTTAATCCACTAAACATACAAACTAGCATTTTCAATCCTATTTTTGTAGATCTCTTACCTTTTTTAAGGAACCTTTTTACGCCTTAGAGCAACTCACTCTCCTCTTGCTAAATGCCATTTGCCTTCAAAGCCGTCTTTATCAAATCTCACTACAAGAAACCACTTCCCTTTTGTCTTTGGAATACTTGAAGAACTGTGGTCCAACCTACCATTAATTTTTTCTGAAGATGGTGAAGGATATGCTGTGCAAACTATAAGGAGAGGAGAGGTTCATATTTACTAGGTAGAACAGAGTCATTTACAACAATGCCATCTTAAATTGTATACTTAACTTTGTTAGGTCCATTGTCTTTTGTTTCTGTTTTCCAGATTATTTTACAGTTTACCTGCTTAAAAAAGCAGACATACACATTGTCAATTTGTCAAACCCTTATTCATACAAATGTATCATCTGGACTCGGTTATTGCAATGTCTTGCAATTGAGCACAAATTATCAATCTTTTTCTGAGGCCACTGGATCCATATCAAAACCAGATTTTATTTTATGCTGTCATTAAGTCATTAAGCAAGTCATTCAGGGGTCACTTAAATTTACTTAGTAGGTAAATCTCATCAGCACTTACTATCCACTGTGCATTCTCAGATTAGAGAATGCTGTTATTTCTCTCCTAGAGTACCATCACCAGTCATATAATGCACATTACTATCTCTTTCTCTCCTTCTTGACTAATTTCACAAACTTTGTGACTCAATTTGTGCACCTCACTTTCTATGCAAAATCATAGGGCAGCTTTTTCAAAAACCCAGGAAATGTTAAATGTTGAAGGTTAAACTTAAATATGGGACTCTGCACTATAAACAGACAATGTGCACCTGCTTAAATTTGTAAGACACACACACACACACATACCGCAAGATATGGGACCCAGAGGGAATGAGGCCTCTGAAAGGAAGCAGGAAAGGTGGGTGAGGAAGTGGTGATGGTTGTCATCTACTCACTCCCACACAGAACTCAGATGTGGGTGTGAAAGAGATATATGTGCCATGTTCTCGTTTAAACATACCAAAGGTACTTGAATAACGTAAAATAATGATTTTGTTAGTAGGAAAGCACACATTGCAGATTTATATGCACCAGCGTCCAATGATAAACTAATTCCATCAACTTACACACACACACACAGTTTCTGCCACATGACTTGAATTGGCAAAAACGGAAAGGAAGTGAAACTCGCTGTTGTGCTGCATTAATGACCACAACATTTCTTACATAGTTGAAAAAAACAAAAGCGTAGCTTATTTATCTAGGTTGGAACATATCCTTCACCCTGCACATTTACACAAACAAATGAGTCCTCTAGTACACAGAACTGCATTAATGATTGGTTTAAATTGGTTTCTGTATGACACAACTTACTTACTTACTTACTGCAAGGCGTAAAAAAGGCAAAAAGATCATAGAGAAAAAAAATTGGATATGGGACAATACATTTTATACAGCCTTGTCAAACAAATCAGCTCAGCTCATTACTTAAACAAAGCTGAGAAGATTTTTTGGGGCAGCTGGAAAGCAAAAAGGATCTTTCTTGCATTATAATGGACATCTACGGCATACATACATGCAGAGTTGCCATAGTATCTTAAGTGAAAGATATATACAAAGAGCATCAACACAGAGTAAACTAGGTCTTCTTTGTGACACAGAGGCATAGCTCCTGCAAGCTCAACTGTGGTTTTTTTCAGGTGTTGCTGCTGCTGTTCTCAGCTGTCATTTTGGAGGAGGCACCAGAAGTGTATAGATAGTCCTTAAACAGGCTCAGCACCCGCTTCTTGTAGGTCTTAATGGCAAAGAAGTAGATGACTGGATCCAAGCAGCAGTTGAAGTTCATTAGTGAAACAGTAATCTGCAGGGAAAAGATGGATTATGAAAAGGAAAATTGATGGGGATTGTTTGAAATTCAATGAACAAGCACAGTTTGTACCTGTAAGGACACCTTAAATGCCCTCAGTTCCTCGCAGGTTGGCTGGTGGTGTATCTTTCTGGACATAAACTGCATAACGTTGAGGTGGTAAGGGCTGAAGCATATGAAGAACGTGAGGAGAATGAGGAGAATAATTGTGTTGGCCCTGTGATTCCTCCTTGATCGACCAGTTATAGAGTTCTGTTTGGCTGCAGCTCGCAGCTTCAGGTTGATCTTTGCGTAGCAGCCCATGATGATGATGAGCGGACAGCAGAAGGAGATGGCACAGGCGAGAAGCAGGAGATAAGGGGTGAAGTTGGAGCCCTCAAAGTTGAAGTACTCCATACAGGTTTGTCTGTCCTGGTGCTTATGCAGCATGCTGCGGAATAGCAGAGGAGCTATCTGCAGGGATACTAGAACCCAGACTAGACAGCAAACCCTGCGAACCACCTTCACACTCCGCAAACACTGCAGTCGGTGTGGATGCACCATGGCCAGGTATCGGTCCAGACTGATACAGGTCATGAAGCCAATACCTGGTGGAAATATGAATATGCAGTTCAACATGTGCAGAAGAAAATGGCAAAGCAAAATTGATTTGATTGTTGTTGTTTTTTTTTACCATCTTTCTATTCTGATACATGCTTTTCATACCTCATACCAGGAGTGTATGAAGGTCTAAAGCAATTTTAAATTGGCTCTTAAGCCTATACTGTTTTCTTGTCTTATGTAAATGCTAAAGTCTTGCACACATAAACTTCAGTTCATAAAGTTAAACCTGGTGTGGAAATATGTTTACATATGTAGCACAATACACACTAAAAGATATGATGGCTTATTGACAACAAAACACTTATATTACCTGCATAGGTATTTGCAAAGAAGAGAAGTGTAGTCAGTCTGCAGAGAAGGTCACCAAAGGGCCAGTCATAGTGGCGGATGTAGTAAATTATTCTGCCAGGCAGCGCCAGTGTGAACAGGGTATCAGATAGCGCCAAGTTGACCAGATAGATGGAGGTGGAGTTGAACTTCTGCTTCCTCTGGCAGATTACATAGAGAACCAGGCTGTTGCCAAACGCACTGATGATAAAAACCACTGAGTAGAAAATAGGGAAGAGGACCACTGCAGCTCTTTGGTAGACAAACACATCACAGCTGCTCTGGTTTGGAGAGTTTTCAGCTGAGTCCAGGGTGATATTTTCAACAGCCATCCCACCTGTTTGTATGAGGAAAGGATCACACTGTAAATCATAATCATCATAACAGGCAGGAAACAAGTGTGCATAGGCAAAGGAATGAAAGACCACTGAGTTACAGATATAGATATAGAATATAGAATACTCACAACAAGAGGTAGGGTTCCCAAGTTAATCCACTGTTAATACTCCTGAGTCTGGTGGTTGTGGTTGTAAATTGAGCTGCAACACTTATAATACCTCTGAAAAGGTTATATGCCTTGTTCAAATCCCACCTCTCCTTTTTGACATCATATGTCTGTCAAACTTTGTACTTTGTTCTTTGTGCTGTAACCCCAGTTAGTTGATGTGCACAGTAGACAGTTTTATAGCTGTTCATTGACAATTTTGAAACAAATGTGATTAGTTAACTATTAGTTAGCTATTAGTATAATAGTTAATGTATATATATAATCCAGTTTGTCCTATTATTAACTTCTCAGTCACCTGTAAAGGAACTTGAATTGCACCTCCTATGAAAACTATACAAATAAAGTTTGAGTGATACATTTAAATGTATATGAATGTATGTATATGATGACATTTTTGCTGTATTTTCATGCTGATGTTGCTTACAATTTTCTTCATGACAAGCACAATTGTCTCACACCTACACACACACAGCCATGCATTTCTGTTGTGAGGACATTGGACAACTCTAACCATAACTCTAAGTCTTAAAGGTCCAGTGTGATTTAGTGGCATCTAGCGATGTAGTTTAATATTACATTGCCCTCGCCTAAACCTCTCGTTCCTAATATGTAGGAGAAACTACGGTGGCCGTGAAACACACGAAAAAATGCAAAACCTGGCAGTTCAACATGGCAGCGTCTGCGGAAGAGTAAACACTCCCTCTGTAGATTAAAAACGGCTCATTCTAAAGTAACAAAAACACAATGATTCTTATTTTCAGTTGATTATATACCTTTTAAAAAAATACCTATGAATGTTCAGTATTTGCCAGTAGATTCTACTAAATGTTGCACACTGGACCTTTAACACCAAATATTAATGGTTGACCTTGTGGCTACCAACAACATTTATTTAGCTGATGCCCTTTATCCAAAGTGACTTCAATAAGTACATTCAGCCATGTGGATACAGCCTAAAAATCACAAGAATCATGCATCAACTTCATGAGTCTGCGATGGAAAATGTGCAGCGCTTCTGCTGCCTTGATGTCATTTCACCACTGTAGAGCCAGGACAGCAAACTGTCGTGATTCGAAGAAGAATGTAGTGTGGGAGAACTTGGGTAAGCAGGCAACTGCATTCTAGATGAGCTGCAGTTGCCTGCCTGATAGTTCATGTAGGCCCACCAGCCAGGAGTGTTACAGTTACAGTAGTCAAAATGTAAAACGACAAGAGCATTGACCAGAAACTGCGCCCTCTCCTGGGTAAGGATCAGACATATCCTCCTGATGTGACAGGGAATTAATCTGCAGGAGTGGGTTGTCTTAGCAATGTTGGCATTGAAGGACCGCTTGTCATCCAGTGTCACCAAGGTTTCTTGCTGTCCAAGCCTGGGACACAACTGAATTATCAATGGTAATGGAGAGGTCATGGGTGAAAGATGCCTTCTCAGAAAGCAGCTAATTTTTGTCGAGGTGAGACTCAAGTGGTCTGCAGACATCCACTGAGCGATTTCACACAGAGATTTGTGGTGTCACTTGGGTTTCAGACCGGGGCACAGAAATAGTTGAATACACACCTCACTATAGCAGTTCTGTATTACCTACACTGCAGGGACTGAGTGCCTATTTACGTGTCAGAAAGAAAGAGTCATAGATAGAAAGTGATTAGTAGAAGTATTAAGCAATAACTGAATGTGTTAACTTTGCTTCTTTGCATGCATGAAGTATCCATTTCAATGTGTATACACATGCATATGCATATGACAATATAACTATTGCTGATATAATATGTACAGGGGCTAAACTTTAATAAAACAGTGCATGTATTTGCACCACTGCTTGTGGTTGGTGCTGCACATTTTTGTGAAAGGTTAGATGAAGTGATAGTGTGAGGTTTTATATTATGTTCCTGCCTCTGAGGTTTCTCAGGTTTGTATTCTATGCCGCTGAGTGAAGGCAGACAGGCCTGAGGTGGAGCTGATGGAAGATATAGGAGGAAGCCGAAGTATTGCTGGTGCTTGTAGAAAGAAAAAACTGTCACAAACCTGTGATGTGTGGATGAATCACTAACAGAAGAATGAAGAATGTCACATCTACATATTCTCAACCACCAACCCCCCAAAAAAGATTAAACGCATGAACAGTCTAAACTGAAAACATAGTGTTAGATTCTGAGAATAGTTATGGTGGTAAAAATGTGGCAACGCCAGTTTGCTTCTTGCAAAAGGAGATACAGCGGCTTCACTTCAGGAAATAAAACCAACTCAGTTTGCAAATTCACACATTCATTTTTCATTTCAGTGATCAGCACCAATAGACAAACAAAACACTTGACAGTTGGAAAAATGTATAGAAAGTATAATTTCTTCAAAAGAGTTCACACTGGCATGACCTTTCAAAGATATTAAAAGACCAGTATGTGGAATTTAGTGGCATCTGGTGGTGAAGTTGCAACCATTTGAATACTTTCAAGGATGTAGGAGAAACTATGATGGCCGTGAAACTTGCAAAAGGCCCTTTGGTGTGTATGGTTGGTCCATTCTGGGCTACTGTAGAAACATGCCTTTGTAGAAGAGGACCCACTCCATCTGTAGATAAAATGGACTCATTCTTAGGTCACAAAACCCAACTATTCTTATTTTTGTGTGATTATACATTGATAAAAACATAACGGTGAATATTATATTCCATAGAAGCCTCCTAAATGTTACACACTGGACCTTTAAGGAAAATAAGAGTACAACATAACGATTAATGCTGTATTATTATCACTGAAAACCTCACTCGACATACACATTTTATACAAAATCCATTCCAGCAGTTTGCTAAATCGCATTAAAGTATTTTAAGACTAGTGGTACAGTACAGTGGCCAAACTAACAGTAGTAGTACAATATAAATACACTGGCAGTATCAGTATAGTATCTGAGCTCCCTTACCCACCAAAGCTTTCCAAGTTGGTGTAATTGAAATGGATGGCTGCTGGATAGGCAAAAGGTCACTAATTGTCACTAGTCAAATGCGGTTATGATACAGCTCACTTAGGTCACAATGAAAGCTTCAAGACAATGTCACCTGCAGGTTAGGAGCCTGCTGCACTTCAGGCCTACATTTCATGCTCCATTAATTTTTGCGCATAGAGTTAAACATCTCGTACCATCTGAACGATGTGCTGGAAAAGAAAAAGACAGTCGTTTGTTGAGTGCTCACTAGGTGTCCTGAGGGTCTCTCACAGTGTTAAATGCTGCAGGAGCGCAGGAGGACATGGAAATAAGGAGATGATCAGTTCTTTTCATGTATGCCATTTGCATTTACACTTCCCAAAATAGGCAATGTAAAACCCATTTTTACTAGTTTTACCTCTGTTCATCTTAAACATTGCAAATCTGTGCATATTGTAAACCTCCTCCTTATGATGGTTTAAAAGTAAAACTGAAAACTTAAAACTGTAACAAAGCGTGACCTTTTTTGGAGTAACTGGACTATTAAATGTAATCCAGTCAAAAGGACAGTTTACAATATATTGCTTTTTGTTTAATAGTATTCTACTTCATGTATCACACCAGCACCATGAAAACAGTGAACATGGTAGTGTGTAGAGTGCTTGCAGTTTTCTGTGCTGATGGGTGTGTGACATGAAAGGTCTTAGGAAATTGAAAGTGACGACCCAGCATGGAACATGCATGGAAGTCACTTCTCAGAAATGTGACCTTTTTCTGGTTGTTAAGTCAGGGGTGGGCTAAAAAAGGGGGAGAAGGGGGAACAAACTGATTTGAAGAGAATTATACAATAGTCAATGGTGCAACTGCAGCCCATAAAAGAACACCCCAGAAGGCATATCGTTTTAAAGGCACCCTCATGGTGGAGGGGGACCAGTGGTGTGTTGGTGAGGCAAACTGGGAATGACTTCTGGTGTCCACAACATGTGTAGAATAGCCAGCGTGGTTCCACAAACGGTGCCTAACCAAATTTGGGATGTTTTTTGCTGCCAAAATGAATTGTGTATAAAACTTCCCCCACGCAGTTTAAATTTAAGTCTGGTTTATCAAACCAACTTCACTGTGCTGCTGTCAACACATTTAGCAAGCAAATAAAAGCAACGTTGTTGGATATTGATGGACAATGACTTTATAGTAATGGCTATTTGTGCCCCTATACATGCAGACATGCAAAAAACACTGTATACGTGTGCATACAGTTGTAATGTAGGCTTCCAGAGTTAACTGCTATATCACATAACACCACTAGAGGGAGTGCAATCATTACAAATAAGAAATAGAAAACAATCGCCGTCATTCATAGTGAACACAATTAGAACACAATTCATTTGTTTTTCAAACATTTTTTTCATTTACATTTTACATTTATGTTACATTTTTATTATTCATTTTTACTATTACAAAAAGTCAGTATGGTAGTGTTAAAATCGCGTGCTTGTGTGCATGCGTGCATATATGTATCTGTGTGTGTGTGTGTGCGTGCATAAGTAGACTGCTGGACATACCGCAGGGGACTCCTGCATTGTCAGGGGGCCTCATGTGGCTCGTGTCTGTTCTCATCATCACCATCCCCCCAAACCCCCCCCATGCATCAGCCGCCGCCTGCCCTGCTCAGGCCCTGTCCCCTGTTCCACCATGCTCGCGTGAAGACTTTCAGTTCACACTTTGCTTCACGCTTGTCACCTTTACCACTGATGAGCTATTTGTTTTGTTTTTTACAGCCAACACTTTTAAACCCTTTTCTTCAGCGACTAGACTGCTCCACTCTACATGCCTTTATTCGGTGCGGTAGTAAAGCGAGACAAACAAGATGACAGGGATAGTACTTGTGCTGTTGCAGCCTACAG